CAATTTCAACATGGCTAAATGTCATACCTTTAATTTTATACTTCAAAATTTCTTTCAATAGGAGGAAGAATAAGATAATAACTGCATAGATATTAAAGCGAATAGAGTCTAGAATTTGACTTTAAATATATCAGCAGTCATAAAGTAATCATATAATATACGTAAGCCTTTTTTACTAAGAAGGACCAATTGATGAGATATAAGTAAAAATACCTATAAAGAAGGAAACTTAAAGGTTTAAAATCACTTCAATAATAACTCTAATATCTATAGTAAACTGATTGTTATAATATTAAACACAAAAGTCATTTTAAAGATATGGTATGTTTCGACACATTCTCGCAAGAACAATCACAGTTAATAATTCTAGTAATTTTATAAAATTAAATTAATAATTTGATACTCCTTTTTTATTTCCTTACAACAGTGATTTTACTATTTAATGTGTTTGAGAAAAATAAATAATAACTAGGAGTACAAATAAAAAAGTAAGTACAAAAACAAGTTTTACTGTAAATATATCAGTTTTTCTCTCTGTTCTTTGCTCTTATATACAACAAAACAAATTAGACTACTTTGACAGTTTAATTGTAGTTTACTGTACTTAGAAATAATTAAAAAATTACGATCAGACGTTTATTAAATTATCACTTGAGTGCGCTATGTCTCAGTAAGCTGTTATGTACAAATATCAAATAATTTAACAAAAAATATTTTCAACCATTATGAAGTTTTGGCAACCCTGACACATCAAACTTAATATACCCAAATAGTATAGCGGAATGAAAGCATTGCAACTATTAAAAAAATTTGCATAAAATGTAATAAAAACTCTTACTATTAGGTAAGAGACCAATTAAACAATTATTATATTATTGTTATTAGTAAATTAATATATATTAATATTTTTAGAACGTATTAATATTTTTATTATTTCTAACATTTTTTATACCTACATAATTGAAAAGACATATATAAATTATTGTCGTTATTACATATTATTATAAATTATCTATAAACTTGCAAGATTATTATGTAATATATGCATGTATTCTACATTGTGAATTAATTAGTAACACATTTTTCTACACTGGCTTAAAAATATGTAATTTCTAAAAAAAAACCACTACATGTAAGTATTTGCCTTTTGTTTATTACTAAGCGTTAATTACTGCAATTTTATACACAAATTAAAACAGCTATTAAAATTTCATTAGTATTCTTCCGTTCATGCATATTTACACCTTAATTTACAAATCAGACAAATTCATTTAGGATATCTATTTTCTATTTATCAACATTTTTTCTATAAGAATATTAAATAATATAAAACACTTATCACATATTGTACCTGACATAAGACCTTTCATTTCCTCATTTCCTATTCTATACAGTTTTAATAACTAGAATGTACTCGTACAAAACACAGTACATATTTTTTACACTATCATGTCATTTTAAATTTACATAAAATAAAATTTAAGATTAAATGGAATAAGTAACCAAACCAACAACTATTTTATTGTTATTAACTGCATACCGTTTAAATTACTTCTGTTGTATTGTTAAATAAATATATAATTAATTTTTTCATCGCTACATAATTAGTTCCCTCATAAAAGAAAAAATCTGAGTAAAAAATTCTACTTATCGTTATACATCTTTTCTTAAAAGTTCGTACAAATATTGAAATTAAACAATATTGTAGAAATTATTTATATATAAACGGGAATTTAAGTTAAAAAGCAATACAACATTAAACGTCAGTTTTACAATGTACCTTTGAAGAACCCCCAATATAAGTGTAGAAAGTATTTCTTTTATAATGTATTGACTCGATAAAAGATTATAATCATGAATAATATCACAATAATAGAAAAATCATATTAATTGTAATATTAATTTTAATCTGTAAATGGTTATTTTGGAAATAATTTTTATTTTGGAAATTTTTACAAGCTCAACTTTGAAGTCAAATATTATAAAATTATTAACGATATGAATAAAAAGTGCAAACACAATATTTCACCACATAAAATTCGTAATAATTTGAAAATATAGTCACTTCAATATATTATAATTAATTTTAAAAATACGGATCTATAAGTTGTTTACATGTTTTTTGTCATTATCAGCTATGCTATTGTTGAACACTGCAAAATCGTCTTTAAGCCATTTCTTCGTCGTCAGGAAAAATATTTTTCATCATCATCATTTAGATAGCAAGTGTTTTAAAAATATTTTGTAAACTTTAAATGATAAAACTTGCAAAAATTTCAATTTTATTTTACGTATAAATTTTCTTCAATATTTCTTATATTCACTGATGGTAAAACTGCAATTGTCAATGCAATGGCAAATAGGCCCTTAAGAGTCTATTGTAAAACCAACCGTAAGAATCTTTTATATATATTTAATGATAATAATTTGGGTAATTTAAAGCAAAATGTATATGACCATCGTTTCCCCTCGTTTATTTCAATCCGATGCACTTTTACATATGCTATACAGACAATCATATGACAAATGGTCATAATAGTTTTTTTTCTACTTTTTATCAAGGCTAGATCAATAAATTGTATATAATTTTAACCAAAAGGCATGGTACGCAGTGAGATACGTCACAGTTCTTAATTTCGTACTTTGTGTTCCCATTTTACACTGCACTTAATTTAACGGTTCCATAATAGTATAAGTTTTTTCAGCCCTTAACGGTTTTTACAATGTATAGATTTTAAATGCTAAGTAAGTCAAAACTGATTAAAGTTGTACAATAAGAAATAATTAGATTGTTCTCTTATTTCATTTGGTTGACGCATTAAAATAACATTTCAAATTTTTTTTAATGTTATAATCAAAATCCACCTAAAAACCTTAATTTAATTAGTTTTTCTTGTCAGCTAATTTTTAAGTAATCTTTAAGTGCTCGTTATTGGGTAATTAAAGATCATTTAATTGTAAAACTGTGTATATCGCATCGGGCTCCCCGTATATATTGTAAAACTGGCCCTTACTATTATTGGTAAAACCTATTTTTATACGAGAATGTAAGCTTCAATAACTGGTTTTAGACACAAAGTCGATTTCCACCATCAAAGTTTATAATGTAAATATCTTATAAACTTAAAAGATATGATTTTTTGTGACGAGACACAGAAAACCTCTTCAACGTATTTAAATTCGAATCAAAATTTCTTCCTTTCACAAGTTCATAATTTTTTAATTTACTTTGAAAACGTCAGTCAATTCTTATAAAAATTTTAACTTTTTTTCATTTAAAATTTTTTAATTTACATTAAAAACAACCGCAATTTCAAATTTGAAGTGACTATGACCATCTGTATAAATTGAATCTTAGGATATATGTATAAGTGCAGTGTCATACAAAATAAATTGAAGTGAAATTATGCAAAAACACTAATAATAATTCTTTCTAAAAAAATTTACTAAATCGATTTCATTTAAGTTTTTGTGTTGAACTTTAAATTTATACACGTATATTAGTTTAATAAGCACTTTGCATATTAATAATCGCATTAACTGTTATTATGTAATATAAAATTTTTAGATTTTCTTTTGTATGAGTAAACGAGAAAAGTAGCTGTATTAAGTATACAGTAATCTCTCCTATAACGCGGTACCCTTATATCGCGTTTTCATATTACGCGATTTCAATCCCCGGTATAACATGTGCTTTCCCGTATATAACGTGGGGATTTGTGCAGTTCATAATTAGCTTCGCGTACCATTGCAGGTGTGTATACGGGGTATACGGGAATACCCCTGTAACGTATGTTACTATAACGCGGAATCAATCTACCGCGTTATAAGGGGGAATACTCTAATTAATTACACACAATTGTAATGATGGTTTTATAGTTTTTCATGTTATTATTATCTCACAATTATTAACTCATTATATAATACCCTTATTATAAGCAATTATTCATTAATAAATTAGCGACACTTATTTATGTAGTTTTTACATAGGCAATTGTTTGAAACAATATACATATACACATGTTAGATGTCATAATATTATTGACAGTTGTTAAAAAATTTATTTAATACCAAAATTTTTCTTAATAAATTAACGTTAAATGCAACTCTGAAATTGTGCTCTCTCTTTCGATTGACAATTTACATTGTGTGAGTGTGAGTGCACATGAGCGAAATAGACAAAAGCCGTCAGATAAAACAAACTACACAGCTGGCGAAGACATCATTTGAAAGTAAGCATTTGCTAGTCGCGGTCGTGTTTAACTGCAGTGATTTTTTTTGAAATTTTTAGAATACTTCTTAAACTTTTCAAAAATTGTACAGTGTAATGACACATAATTGCCAATTCTTTAAAATCAACTCAAGTGATCAAAAATTTATCGATTAGAAAGTTAATTTGGCAGCCATCAAACATTTGGCATTTCACCGTAGAATTGCTGCAGCAAAAAACGATTACCAAATTTTATATTTTTGATATTAGCGCAAAGGCAAGCGAAGTGAAAGTGTTAAGTGATTTATGTCTCGTTACATACACAATTCTGACGTATTCCGAAATATTTGGGATTTTATGAAAATTTAAGTTTTCAATTGATTCCAGAAAAAAATAGCAAAAAATACTGAAAACATTATTTTCAAATACAGCTACAGATAACCTGAATCTAAGCAACATGAGTGGATACACAGATTTAACCAAATTGGACAGTAATCGGTAAGTGTTTCAAAAGTGTACACGCCCAATATAACCACACATATATTAAATGAAGTGCTAAATGAGATTTACAATATTTAGTTTAAATATATTAGAATCAATTTATCTGACTAGTATTGTGTTATTAAGTGTTAGGGGAGAATTACTACTGCATTTTTATGCTGTTAGTGTCTTTATTTTTTTCAAAACGACCAACTAAGCAACCAACAAACCAATTCAATGCCTTGACGTATTTGTACACACTGTACCAAACACACACGTATAAACCTGAACACATGCATAGTTTGTCGACATGCACAGTGGTAGCATAGCAAAAATTTATCGTACGATGCGGGCGAACGGTAAGACGCCGTACTCAAAATTCATGCATACAATAAAAGCAAAACCAAAAACAAAAAAAAAAAGAAACAAAACAAATGGGTAAGCAACACGAATATGACACAATCTTCTCACGAATATAACATCATACGAACATATTTTTTTTTATTTTTATTACGATGATGTTGTTTTTAAATACAAACATGTGAACGATGTGCTCTGCTCGTTGCTTCAGTTTGTTAAATAGTATTTGGTTTTTTAGGTAAAGTATTTAGCAAATACTTTTAAATGAGATAAAAAAATCAGAAATCTTAAAATGCTCTTAACCGAGCCGAGCGTCTGTCTGCACCAGCCAAACTAGCCAGCTAACTGGCGAGCTGGCGAGCGCTGTTATCTGACCAAACAACTGTAGTAGAAACAAGTTGCTTCAGAGAAGTTGAGAATGGACAATAAATAAAAGCGTACAAAATGCCGAAATCCATTCATTCATATATTCAATGAAAACTACTTTTGAAATTTCATCATTTTTGCTATGTGAAAAATAGTTTTGGCTTTTAATATATGCCACGAGCGTCTGCTGCTCCATAGGTGGGGTACACTGGGGGAAAATTGTTAGACTAAAACTTTTACCTTTCCCCTGTAAAATTCTTATAGTGTACATTACAAACTCTCTTTTTTACACTGTGTGTATGAGTGTGTGAATATGTCATAATTAAATAAATATGTAAGAATCTGATTAG